CTTGGTGTAGCCTGGGAGGGGGGTGTTTTGCAGGACTTGCTGCGGCGCGGCGGCGTTGTACCCGAAGATGCCTGCCCACTCCTTGACTTCCTCGCCGAGGTTCTCGGGGAGGAGCGTGGTGTCGACGGTTCCGTGGTATTCCTGCGAGTGGTCATTTATAAATTATCGTGGGCCACCAGCGATGTTGAAGCGCACCTGGATGGGCGGGTACGCGCCGGTATAGCCGGGGAACATGGCGCGCACTACGGCGGCCCACTGTGCGGAGGTCTGGGAGACTAATCCCTCGGAGCAGGAGCTGTTCCACGCGTCGACGCCGCCGAAGTTAGAAACGAAGCAGCCTGCGGCGACGCCGGAGTAGACGGTCGCCGCGCGGAAGAGCTCGGGGTACGTTGCGCAGAGGACGTTGGTCATCATCGCTATAATTCTCCAGTCACTGAGGAAGCAGGAGCGAGTTTGACATGCACGAACCTCCCGACGACGACCCAGTGACAAAAATACGCGTTGGGTCGGCGCCGTAGTTCGCGATAGCGAACGAAACCATGCTCGCGATCCCATTACTGTCGCCGCCACCATTGTGGGTAAGTGTAGCCGGCGAGCTGACGTCCCAACACGTCCCGCTATTCGGCGAACTCGGGTAAATGACGATGAACCCATGCGTATCCGCGAGCTGCGCGTAGGGCGAGCCGCTGAAGTACGCCTGCGCCGTCCCGGTGCAATAGTGTATCGCGACGATCACAGCGGGCTTGGTGGTGACCGTGGTGGGCTTGTAGACGAACATCCCGACATTGGTGGGGTTGGTGCCGAAGTTGGTGACCTGCTGCAGCGTTGAGGTCAGGCCTGCGACGAGGCCTGAGTAGAGAAACAGGAGGGTCGAGGCGAATAGTCTCCGGGGGAAGGTGGCCATGCTGGATGAGAGACGAAAGATCATGAGTGTCCCTTTTACAGCATGTCAAAACTTCGGCGAAACTGAGGTCCCATGATGCGAGTCGGATACGACGGGGAAATCGAAGAAGCAGAAAGTGGCAGATGACGGAGTGTCTTTTATTCCTGGTCGCAGTGCAAATAGGTCCACGGAGACTCAAATTTAGACGCGTGTATGCCGAATTTCGACCGAGTTCGTCACGTCGCAGAAGTCTCCTCACCACCCGGTTCGAGAATGTTTCCTTCCAAGAGCTGCAATGGGCGAAGAGAGAGAAAGAGCAATCGCGGGGAGTCAACCTGATGCGCACTTTTCCATGCGACAGAGCACAGGAACCGCCCTCGAGCATCGGCCTGCGGTCTTCAAGTAGAGGCAGAGTTGAGTGCAGAGGATGGCGAAGGAAGACAGAGCTCGAGTTTGATCAGACTAAACTTGGCCGCGAAGAAGCCTGTGTCCCGAGTTGCTATAGTTTTGGAGTGGGTTATCAGCAGTGTCGCCTCAGAACGCGCTCTATTGATAAACGACGTGAGTTTTTCAGATTCAAGAAGAACACAGGCGGTCAACTGTCGGGGCGCCAGCCACACAGTCGAAAGATCAACGAAACGAAAGCCAAAATCAATTGTGGTACGACGGCGGCGGCCCCGTCGAGCCCGCCAACGACTCCCAAGCGGACCCGTACGTCGGGGCCGCAGACACCCGGGGATTGGGATTCCTATCCCGCGTCGAACCCGAGCCGTACGTCGGCGCCGCGGAGAGCCTCGCAGTATCACCGTAGTTAGACGTCGAGGGCGAGGCAAGCTCGGACATCTCCGGGTCCGTGTCCGTAGAGGCGAAATCGGAGATCGGCACCTTGACGTCGGCGGGCCAGGATTGGCGTTGCGGGGCTGCGGCGGGGGTGGCGGCTTCGAGGTCGCTTGGAATGGTTATAGCCACGGGGGAGGCCTCGTTGTGGATGGGGAAGGGCGCGACTGCGTTAAGGCATGAGAATTGGAATTTTTATGGTGGAGGCGGGCGACGCACCTGATGCCTGACGGCGGCGGCGCCTGCGGAGACACAGGAAGAGGGCGAGGAGGACGAGAATGATGAGGACGCCCAGGACGGCGCCCACGATTGCGCCAATGGGAGGGCCGTGCTTGCTTGACGCGGAAGCCTACGGGGTACAGAAATGAGGTTGATATCATCGAAATTCTCAAGCAATTGGCTCAGGAACGTACTTGAGTGGGATCACCGCCCGCAGTCGACGATTGTGGAAGCTGGGTCGAGCCCGTGGGTGTTGTGGCGATCCCCTGGGAATGAACAGATAGATCATCAGTACGGGAAGGGCACTAGAATTCAAGATAGTTACCCCTTTCACAATCGAGGTAGTTGCCTTGGAGGAAGATGCGGCAGAAGCTGATGATGGGTTAGTTGAGCCCGTTCCCGATATCTTTCCGCAAAGGTGAGACGGATCTCGAGCGCTTGAAAAAGCGGACAACGAACCGGGTTGGAATCAGAGGAGGAGTTGGGATTCGACGGATTTGGATTTGCGGAGTTGGGACTTGAGGGACTGGAAGGACTGGAAGGGTCTGCGGGACTGGAAGGAGTGGACGGATCAGAGGGCGGGGACCCAGCGGTCGATCCCTGATTATTGTGTGAGCCTATATGTCTCTGATTATATTTGGAGACGCACCCCAGTGCCTGCCACCTCGCTCGCGAACTCGGACAATTGAACAGGGAGGTCCTGCTGGTTATCCGACACATCCGATATGTACACCGCGGCCGCCCCAGCCGCCTCGAGCTGGTTGATAACTGTGCTGTACGAACCAGACGAGGGAGCGTTGACGAGAATCACTGATTGCTTGGAGGTAGAGCCTGACAGCGAGTTGGCGTTGAACCCCGAGTAGGAGTCCTCGTAGGTATTCACGAGATCGGCCATGGAAAAGTACGATGCGTCTGTCGTTTGGCCGGGGTCCAAGCCAATCTAGGGTATAGATCGTATTAGAGACGCGTGTAACGGGGGAAACAATCAGAACGCACAAAGGTGAACCCCTTCGACCGAGCATACGACGCATAGCCTTGATAGGTGCTCAACTGGTTGGCAGTGGGCGAGATGTTGTCGAAGAAGATCCCGACCGGCCTCGCAGCGCTATCCCACCCCGCATAGGTGTCAATATCTCCCTCGACGTTCCCACCACGGGTATCGATGAAGCCCATGATGATTTGCCCGTTAGAGGCCGGAATTTTTGACACGCAGGTTTGGTAGGTTTGGTCGGTCTTGCCTGGCCCACTGTCAGGATTGATGATGATGTACCATTTTGCGCTCGACTGGGCGGAAATGCTGGAAGGGGATGGCGATTCAGTAAGTGGGCGAGCGGGGGATGGAGGAGACCCTCACGCGTTGGACACGGGCGCCCATGAGGCACAGTTTGAGCCAGGGTAAACGTAGAGTGGTAGGAGGATCTGTGGGTAAAATTTGAGGTCAACGGCTGGATGCGCGGGGCGGGAAACGACGCACTCCGAGAGCTTGGATGCATGGCGCGACAAAAAGTTGGGTTACGAGTAAGAGGACCACATAGTGGTACATCGGAAGGAAGCAAAAGTCTTAGAACCCTGCAATCTCGCGTCGCAAAACCATCACGAATGATGGTCGTTGATAGATGTGAGATTATTGGAACTCAACTCAATCAACTCGGCCTAGTTCGGCGGATGGGTTCAAAAACTAGCAAACCTCGACACGATGTCAGGATCCTCGCTGAGGGCCAGTAAAAAATTCCACGGACCGCTTCAAGCTCCAAGAGTCAAGTTGCACCCAGAAGGCCAATGCTTTTGGGATTGTGGATTGGACCCGACGGGAAAAGAACTTGGTCCTGGCAGATTCCTTCCCGCATTCAATGACGAATTGAACAACCGTGGTACAGTATCATAGACTTGACGGCGGACGCCGGCGGGGAGTTCCTGAATCGGGACAACCAAGTGGAAACGAGCCGTGGATAATTGGGTGAATGGCGGGTCTTGGAAAGCTGAGCGTGGATAAAACGAGGATAAAACACCACAAAACGAAGAGGAAAATCCAGCAGAGATGTCGTTGAGCAGGAAGCGTGCGAGCCGTGCGAAGGCAAAAGGTTGTTTGCCGGCCGCGGCATTACGAAAAAGATAGGGGTGGAAATTTTGGATCACTTCAAGTTCAACCACACTTCACCGGTTCACCCTCCTCACCTGGCGGGAAAGGGAAGGAGACACGTTGAGGCTCTCCTCCCCATATTGTTTTCCACCGCCGGATGGCATATTTGGCAGACGGCAGACACGGAGTTGATCTGGGGTTTGTGTGCGAGGCAACCTTTGTATTTGCCCACCTACATGACGCGCTACCTTACAACACAACGAGGCACGAGCGCCGGTGTTGTAGCGTCTGTCTATGAGAGACTAGCGCTACATACTGTCTGATTGTTGGTGGCCATGGCTTTCCCCGGGTTGAATTCTCTTTTTTGCTCGTGAAATTGCCTGTTCTGTTAAAACGTTGAGGGTCGAGCGATAGTTGAACTACGGACGTGTTTTCTCGTTTGCGCACCCAGGTATTGAGGGATAGATGACTCTGAGGACCGACTTGATAGCGGGTGGTCCGCGACTGCGTTCATTGTAGCTACTTCTTCCATAGAAGCAGGTCTTCCCGGTTCGATTCCGGGTCAAGTCTTGGACGTCTTGGAAGCAACCATTTTTTAGTCGACGGTTTAAATTGCCCAGTGTAGCGAAGGTACAGTTGTTTACACAACTAGATGGCGGTATTTGCGTTGCCTGCAAAGGATGTCCGACAGCCATCACGGTTAAATTCTGGGTGTTGATCTTCTCGAGAGATGGCTTTCTTCTGTCAAATTCTGGGTAGAACGCTGTGAGATTTCCCTAGCTTATTCAAGAATCATCCAGCTGTGAAAGGACTCGATGGCGGATGATACGTACCTGCCTTCACCGACTTGCCTTGCATTCGCAGGTAAGGATGCCCTGTTCAGTTCGGGTTGAGTCATAGGCTTTGGTCGATGTACTATATTTTGCGCACCACCAGTCATTGTTTTGCGTGGGTATTGAAGGCAGCGTTATAGGAAGAAGCGGCTCGATGGCGGATGGTCCGCGTCTGCTTTCGCTGCACACGTTCTCCCGGTCTATAGCAGCAGGTCTGCCCGGTTCGATTCTGGGTTGAGTCTTTGAATTCTTCGTTAAAAGTATCCATTTTTTCGTCAACGCTGTAGATTGCCCAGCCTGGCGAAGAACAATTGTTTACACATCTCGATGGCTCTATCTTTGCAGAGGATAAGCCCGACAGTCATCATGGTTGAATTCTGGGGCGAATGTTGAACCTAGTTCTCGATCGTTGTCAATGACTTGCTTCCGTCGTCGAACTTTGGTAGACACTTTGTAGCTGCCAGTGATTCCCCCTTTTAAACAGGGATTCGTCGCGATTCCGAAACGATTCGTTGGTTTTAAATCCTCCGCTTGTGCGCAGACCCGGTGATTTTTTGTGTATGACATCAATGGATGAGGAGCTAGTGGAACGACCCGAGGGGATTGAGGGCAGCATTCCACGAGAGACGACTCGATGGTGGATGGTCCGCACCTGCCTTCACTTGGTTGAGAAGCAGGTATATCTGGTTCGATTCCAGGTCAAGTCTTGGGCAATTGACACACTTCCTTTTTGCAGCAAACCCCCGAGGTTGGTTTTCAACACTGCGGTCTGAGGTTTTGATGTATAGAGGGACAAGCTGCTGTTGAGGGGACTCGATGGCGAGTCTTCCACATTGGCTTTCATTCGGCTTGAGCACTGTACACTTGCGCAGGTACATCCGGTTCGATTCCGGGTCGGGTGTTAATATGAAGGTGCAATCTTGTTTTGTGAACACTGGTGATTTCTCAACACGGTATCACCGAGCCCTGCAGGTTGAGTGACGATTCAGTGGTGGCCGTCTTCACCTGATTTTCCTCTCATAGTTTGCGTGTTTACTGTAAGCTTGAGCAAGTATACCCAGTTCGATTCCGGGTCGCGTCTTGTAGGCGCCGGCACACTTGAGGTATTTTTTTTTTCGTTCATATTTTGCCGATTGTGTAATATTCCCCAGCTTGTCAAGGGATTATTTGACTCGATGGCCGTAGCTTCTTTCCTTGTAAGTTCGGCAGCACGTAGACTCAACCCAGTTCGATGATTTCGGGTCCAGTTGACTCCAGTGCATTAGAAAGTCTCCCTTGTTTTACGCCCTCCCGTTTCTGTCGGGTGAGCTATGCTTTGAGTATTGAAGGAATATAATGAGAATAACGGGAGAAGTGGGGCACTTCAGATTGCATTCAAGCTATAGAATACATGGGTTTATATACTACTGGATGGAGTCATACATAATTGAGTCAGTACACTACGAGAGTCATATACGAGTCAAGTCGGATTCAACCGTGAGAGCAAGTGAGCCGCCGGCTCAGGCGGCTACTTCGGTTTGCCGGTCCAACACTCCCCCTCAAACCGAACAAAGTCCCAATGCAGCCGCAAAGTGCTTTGCCTTGGCACTGGGTAAAGCCTTAGTCAAAGTATCTGCCACCATGTCCTGAGTAGGGCAATAAACGAGTCGAATAGAATTATTTTCGATCACGTACCGAATAAAATGGTAGCGGATGTCAATATGCTTCGTGCGTGCATGGAATTGACCTATGTCGGAATAGGCGAGGGCGATGGCCGATTGGTTGTCACCGTGAAGGGTGATGGGGTGTTCGAGTGGGCGAAATAATTCGCCGATGAGTTGGCGCAGCCAAATAGCTTCCTTGGCCGCATGTGTCATTGTGACGTACTCGGCCTCGGTTGTTGAGAGCGAGACGAGCTCCTGCTTCTTGGAACTCCAAGAAATAGCACCTCCGTCAATAATAAATGCGAAACCAGAGATTGCGCGCCTTGATTCCTGGGACATCCCATCTGCATCCGTATATCCTTCCAACCCGGGCTTTCCCGCGCCGTAGGTAAGGCGTAAATCCTTCGTGCCTTGAAGGTAGCGGAAGACGCGCTTAGCGGCCTCCCAATGAGCGGGTCCGGGGTTGTCAAGGAACTTCGAGAGAATCCCCACAGTGAATGCAATGTCGGGGCGAGTCCCAACAGCAGCCCACATCAACGAGCCAACGGCCTCGCGATATGGTACGTGCTTCATCGCCGCAATGTCCTTGACACTGACAGGCGAGTGCTCCGAGGTGAGCTGAATGTTTGGGTCCATCGGCAGCGAGAGGGGCTTGGCGTCGATAAAGTTGAAGCGCTGTAAAATAGAGGTGATGTACGACTGCTGGGATAATGAGATCGTACGCGCTTCGCGGTTCCGCTTGATTTCGATACCAAGCAGCCAGGAGACGGGCCCGAGGTCCGTCATCTTGAAAAGTGTGCCAATACGCGTCTTGTACTGCTTGAGGAGTCCGGTTGAGCTGCCGGTGATGGTGCAGTCATCAACGTGGATCGCCATGATGAGAATGTCGCCGTTGTCGCGGAGATAAAAGACGGCGTGGTCGGAGGCGCACTGCGTGAACCCAATGTTAGTGAGGGAACGGCTCAAGGTTTCGTACCATCGACGTCCGCCCTGCTTCAAGCCGTATAGCGCCTTGTTGAGTTTCAACACGAATTTCGCGCGATCCGCGGTTTCGTAGCCGGGGGCTTGCTCCATGTAGATGAGTTCATCCGGGTCGAGTTCTCCGTTGAGGAACGCACTGTGGAAGTCGAACATGTCGATCTCCCAGTCGTTGCGAGCGGCAATTGCAAGAATCAAGCGGATTGAGGAAATTTTAGCGGTGGGGGCAAATGTTTCATAATAATCCACACCGTGTACTTGCGTGAAGCCTCGAGCAACGAGGCGTGCTTTGTACTTGTCAATTTCCCCCGCGGCATTCTTCTTGACGCGCAAAACCCATTTCGCGTCGACGACGTTGCGGCCGGAGGTTGGACGTTCAACCAAATCCCACGTTTTGGCAGCGGCTAACGCGGCTAATTCCGCCTTGATCGCCGCTTCCCAATGTGGCCAGTCGGGCCTCTTCTTCGCCTCCTCGAACGTCGGGTCGAGAGCCTCAGACTCGGACGTCGCAGCAAGCAGCCCATGCTCCAAGATATCAACCATTTCCCAATCCTCCGACAACTCAGCTCGTGCCGCTGTGTCTTCTTCGACCGTCTGGGGGATCGTCATCCCTTTTGGTACTGCTGGGTCGGATGGCCGGTTGCTGGTCATTCCAGCGCCACTTTGGAGGTCCCTCAAGTATGCTGAAGGTTTCCTGATGCGCTGTCCGCGCCCGGTGGGAGCTGGTTGCTCAGGTTCTTCAAAATCCGGACCAAGCGGGTCGGCGCGAGCAAGCTGCTGCCTGAGTTGCGCGATAGAGGGTGAACTAGGGAGTGGCGCCGTATTGGGTGGAGTACGAGGAGGAGTCTGGGGTGGGGCCTGCTTCACTGCAGGTGGAGTTGGAGGCACGGTGGATGGACCAGCTGTTTGGTGCGTAATCGGGCTTGAATTTTCAGACGACGGCTGATTGTCATCCTCATTCTCCCCCTCAAACAGTAGGTCGGCTGGAATAGGTACTAATATGTCGTCCTTATCCAATTTAACGCTGCGTTCCACCGCTATGGTTCTCCTTCCTTCGAAATAAATCCGGTGTCCACTACTCGCCTCATCAAATCCTACCCAACGGCCAACCTTCGCGCGCCAATCGAGCTTGCTGCCCTTCGGATCGTGGACCCAGACCTTCGCGCCAAACTCAGGAAGCTTCGAAAGGTCGGGTTTCTTCTTGTACACCATTTCAAACGGTGTCTTGTTGTCCAGTGCGCGTGTCGAGGTACGGTTCTTCAAATAAACTGCGTGAGCTACGGCCTCTCCCCACAGAAATTTAGGGAGTCCACTGGCGTGCAGCATAGCGCGAACGCGCTCCAATATCGTGCGATTGAGTCGCTCCGCGATGCCGTTGTGCTCCGGGGTGTCGTGAACCGTGAAACCGCGGTCGGTTCCACTCCTTGCAAGGTGAGCATCAAATTCATTGCTCCAGTACTCCCCTCCGCGATCGGAGTGGAGTTTCTTGATCTTGACGTTGAACTGCGTCGACAGCCACGCCTCGAAGGCCTGGTACGAGTCAAAAGTCTCGTCTTTGGTGCGTTGAATATAAATCCGTGACCATCTGGTATGGTCATCCGTGAAGCTGCAATAATATTCACGGTGATTGATTGTCTGCACAGATGCAGGTCCCCAGACGTCCGAATGAACAACGTCCCCCATGGCAGCAGCGCGCGGCTCCTGCCGGGTTTTCGCAACGGGTTTTCGGCTCGACTTGGCGTACTCACATGAGTCGCAAGTCTTGGACTCTGTAGGTCCCCCGAGCTTAATCCCTGTTACTAACCCATCCTTCACCAGTCGTTTGGCGACTTCCGGTGCGATATGACCCATCCGTCGATGGAGTTCATCGACCGAGACGGTCTCGATGGCGGCGGCGGCAGTTTCTGAACTTGCGGCGTGTTGAACTTTGTAAAGTCCATTTGTCTTGTTGACCACCCCCAAAATCTTCCTTTTCTTATCGAAGATTCTGCAGAAACCATCGCGAAACAACGCTGCAAAGCCCGCGTCGGTCATTTTACTGACCGAGACCAACGTGAGTCCCAATGTCGGTGCGTAAAGTACGTCTTTCAAGAGTACTGTCGCCGTGCTGTTTCCATTCGGGATACTGATTCGAATATCTCCTTGGCCAACAGCTTGGAACGTCCCATTGTCCGCCGCGGTGATGGATTTTACGGGAATCGACGTGAAGTTGATGAATTTGTGCCGGTGCGGGGACATGTGGCGCGATGCGCCCGAGTCATAGAGCTCCGTTTCAACGTCGGGAGTGCCCGCCTCGTTGGCGAGCATGGCTGAATCGTAGGACGAGGTAATCTTCTCCTCTTCGTAGTCCTCTTGATTCCTGAGCCATTGGTTCACAGATATTTCAACCCAATCTGCAAGGTCTTCCATCGACGACGAGTTTGGACGGTCCGCGCCATCCAGGGTACTAGCGCCAGATGCGCTCCTGTCATCAGAAAAATATTCAGAGGGAAATTCAGGTGCGTCACCTTCCTCCGAGTCGGAGTCTGTCGAACTTGACCCATCGTGCAGGTCCGGCATGGAGCTGCAATCGCTATCGCTGTCCGAAACAACTTCCAAATCGGGCATCGAACCATCTTCGCTGCCCTCACTGTCCGACTCCAACAAGCAACGCAAAAAATACGCAACACCTTCCCTCTCGGACGGTGTGTAGTCGCTGTCGCTGTCGTCTGCCTCGGAGCAGTGTTCCGGGATATCCTGTAAGTCCAATTCTGGTGTTGATACCGTGTCGCTGACGGTGCCATCTTCTTCGGCCTCGAAGAAGTCTTCATCGTCGTTGTCTGACAGCCAACAGCCCGCGCCAGTCTGCGGGGCGTCGCCATCGACCTGAATGAGCCCTGCCCATTCTTCCTGGAACAGCAACAGGTTTGTCTCCGCCTGTGCCATCCATACGCCATCATCGTCCTTGGCGGCGTTGGCATCCTCCTTGGCTTTTCCTTTTCCTTTACCCTTCCCTTTACTCTGTGGTCCCTCTCCCTCTTTCCCTCCACCTTTCGCCCAACAGTCCGCCTTGACATGTCCTTTCTTGTGGCAGTTATAACACTCCACCTTGGACTTCTGGCCGCCCTTGCGGGCGCCTTTGCTATCTCCCGCGGAGAAAGCAACGTCGCGGTTATCCTTCTTGGATTTCTGCTTGAGCGCACGGCGGTCGGCCTCCTCGTTGAGGCCTCGGATGAGATCATCGGGAGCGAGTGTCTTGGCCAGCAACGTCGATGTCGCGGTGATGGCAGACAAATACGGGTCGTAGGAGGGCGGAAGTGAACCGAGGATGATGGCAGTGAAATTTTCATTGCCCGGGTCGGCACCCATGCCGATGAGGTCCACTCGAAGCGTCTGCAGCTTCGATAGGTGAGCCCTCACATCTCCATTCTCCGCACAGCGCTCATCCTGGAGCCTGCGCCGTAAATCCACAGTAACCATCTTCGACTTCTTTTCAAACTCATCTGATACATTCTTCCATAGGACCGCGGCGCTTTTAGCCTTCATGAACCGAAGAAACATTGCGTCTGGAATCGTCGAGGCAATAGCCTGCTTCACGACAGCCTCCCCCGACTTATATGCCTTCAGAGCTTTTTCGTAAGTTTCCTTTGCATCAAGCTGCGCTTGGTTCGGCGGAGAGCTCATCGGCGTCGGTGGGACTGGTGGAAGGTAGGTATCGCTCAAATGATCCCCTAGTCCAGCGGCGTCTGCAGCGTACACAAAACGATTCTTGTACACACTGTAGTTCGTGCCATCGGCCTCGCATTTGGGAATGCGCAGGAAGTAGTCACCAAGCTTTGCACTAGACAAGGACATGGTTGAATCAGAGGTTGTAGTTGTCGTGTAGTAGATGTTTGTGGAGAATTAGATTCGGGCGGGGCCCATAACCTATTGAAGGAATATAATGAGAATAACGGGAGAAGTGGGGCACTTCAGATTGCATTCAAGCTATAGAATACATGGGTTTATATACTACTGGATGGAGTCATACATAATTGAGTCAGTACACTACGAGAGTCATATACGAGTCAAGTCGGATTCAACCGTGAGAGCAAGTGAGCCGCCGGCTCAGGCGGCTACTTCGGTTTGCCGGTCCAACATTGAGTGCCAAGATTCCACACCGATTCGACTGCCCGCGGCCGTTCCCGATGTAGAAGAAGGGGTTGTTCCCCGGAGGGAAACTGGAGGTGCCTGGTCGTACTGGCTGGCGGTTGTGAGGGTGCAGCAATTTGGCGAGGGTGAGGAAGGAAGAATGGAACTAGAGGTGGAACAATCAGTAAGGAAGGATAATGGTGTAACTCAGCTCTGATCTGGGAGGAGCGGGGCAAAGATTCTCAAAAGGTGGGGTGCATTGTGGTGGTCAAGAGGAAGGAGAGATCCCCTATCCGTACAAACACATCGTAAATACGAGTCGATCGGCACGGTAACTAAAGTGTCCGTGGGGAAAGCCTCAGCTGGCGCAAACCTCCGGCGAACGAACCAACCGGGAGCTACGCAAAGACGAAATAGGGAGAGCACGTCCCCCGCAAGACGGTGACAAGTGGGGTCCCAAGCCACTGTCGGCTCGATCCCCGGCGTAGTCCGAGAAGGCCGACGACTCGGGTCTGGCGCGTCGCGTTGGCGGTACGTAGAAAGGGAATTGGAAAGACTGTGGTGAGAGAGGTAAATAAGTAGGTGAACGAGAGGCGATGTCCGAGAGCTCAATAATGAATATTCCCTGCGCAATCCAAGAACTGAACTTGATGTTTCGGTTGAGTCGGCTTGGCAGTGGAATGCGTACAGACACGCTCGCGCAGCTGCATAGTAAATCTGGCAAGGGAATGAAGGCAAAGGAGTGTGGACGAGAGAAATGCTCGAATAAGAGGGAGACGAAGGGTGAAGTGGAGTATTCCGGGATGGTGACATCAAAAGTACTTGGTGCCCGAGTGCCGTGTGAAGGGTGATGTCCATGAGCGGGACAGAACACACTTCCACACCGAACCTGCAGCTGCTTGTCAGTTACCAGTGGACTTGTACAGTTGGAACTTGGACTCAACTTGAACTCAGGCTTGGACTGGGAATTTCGAGACGCGGAGGAGCCTAATCAAATAGATCTCAAGACGCTGGTCGTGTAAGTCAAATTCTGGGCTGATTCGCCCCTGGCTTCCGACCTGGTTCGAGGGACAGAGTTTTTACCGGCAAAAGGCGAGACCAAGTCGAGGCCAAGAAGCCGAAAGCTTGCGAACCAAACACGGCCTCACAGGAAAACTTTTTCACTTCACACCAAAATGTTGTCGAACGCAATCCGAAGGCAAACGCGGACAGCGCTCGTCGCCGCGACCCGTCGCGCCCCGGTCGCCTCCTCCTTCCTCTCCCTCGCCCGCCTCGTCCACCCCACCACTCTGCGTGCGCTCTCGACGACACGGCCCCGGCTAGACGACTACGCCTATGCCCAGACGCCACCGCAGCAGCAGCTGTCGGAGAACCCCCCAAGTCGTCAACTCTTCCTGGGCAACCTTGCGTTCGAGGCCACCGAGGAGGACCTCCGGTCTACGCTCGAGTCATTTGGTGAAATCGAGGCCATCCGCCTCAGTGAGTCTTTTTTCTTCCTCCCCCCCTCTCTTTCTCTTGCGTAAACCGAATAAAAACTGACCCCTGCTCACAGTCCTCAACCCCGACGGGTCCAGCCGTGGGTTTGGCTACGTTACCTTCACGGAGCAAGCCGCCGCAGACGCCGTGATCAAGGCAGGGTTGTACATCTTCAACCGCCCCGCGCGCCTCGACTACGCCGTACGCCCGAGCAACCCCGGCGAGCGCGTGCCCCGCACCGGCGGCCCCTCCAACCCCCCCGGGCGCGTGATCTTCGCGGGCAACATGCCCTTCGGCACGGAGGAGATGGACGTGCGCGAGAAGTTCGAGCCCTTCGGCGCGATAAAGAGCATCCGCCTCGCCTCGCGCGCAGGGGGCGAGTTCCGCGGGTTCGCGCACATCGAGTTCATGCGCCAGGAGGACGCGCAGGCGGCGTACGAGAGCTTTGCGGAGGAGCCGCTTTACATGCTCGACCGCAATGTCCGCGTCGACTTTGCGCCGGAGCGCCCGACTGTGGCGAACCCGCCCAGCAACAAGCTGTATTTCTACGACTTCCGCGGGAACGAGGAGATGCTGCGGACGGCGCTGGCGGAGTTTGAGGGTAGTATCGTCAAGGCGCATTTCCGTGAGTGCCTCCTTCATCACCCCTACCTGGAAGCACACTGATGATTCCCCCCTAGTGCGCTCTGCCGTTACCGGCGAACTCACTGGCTCGGGCTTCGTCGAGTTCATGTCCACGGAGCGCGCCACGGAGGCTCTGCAGAGCGTCGGCGGCTCCATGACGCCCTCGGGCGTCCTTAACCTGGAGTACTCAATCAACAAGCAGCGCCCCGCCGGGCGCGGGCCCAGGGAGTTCCACACTCCGCCGTCAGGGGGAGGGGGCGGGTATGGGGGAGGCCGGGGCGGAGGTGGAGGAGGCTATGGGTCGGGCGGAGGCGGCTATGGGTCAGGTGGAGGCGGGTATGGGTCAGGCGGAGGAGGGTATGGGTCAGGCGGAGGAGGAGGAGGACGGGGCGGGTATCAAGGCGGAGGAGGAGGAGGACGGGGCGGGTATCAAGGTGGCGGTGGAGGCGGGTATTCGGGCGGCGGCGGTGGCCGCGGCGGTTATTAGGCCTCACCCTCCCCTTCCTCCCTTCTGCCTCCCTCTCCCCCTCTCCTCCCTTCGCACTCCTCCCCTCCCTGCCCCGCTTACGTCTCCCCGCTTAATACCTACCTACCACTTACCTACCACAAAATCACTGCGTCCAGCATTCATTCACTTTACTTATATATCTCACCCTCGTACGAAGTATCGTATCGCACGTAGATAGCCCGCATCCATCGGCGAATGGAAACGCACAGCCCTACTCTCATTTTCCGTGCAGTGGTCGAGGCTCGAGTCCAGATAAGGAAATCCGAGAGATGTTGGACTCAGAGTCGACTCGACGCTTTTGGTTCTGGTCGTGAGGCCTTGAGGGAAGGTTCAATGTTCAAAGTTCAAGACCCGATTATTACAGTGGAAAGCGCTCCAGGCTGGCTGTCATGATCACTCGTCGGAGTCGACAATTTAAGTCCACGTCCGACGACCAAAAATATACATCTCCGCTACGGGGATGCGTATGCATGCCCACTCAAAGGCTTCAATACAAGCTGTGGGGCAAAAGGAAAATTCGCGATCAGCAGCAATCAAGACCCGAGCCGGAATCGAACCGGCTTCCTGCTTCATTAACTTGAAGAAGCAATCCTGGAACGAGAGCAGGTGCGGACCATCCGCTATCGAGTCGGTAAGTACCTACCTACCTTTCGCGCCATAGGGTGGATGACCTGCGAGAATTCAGGCTTTGCGGACGATTCACGACGCCACTGTCCCTAAAAATGCAGCGCAACGAGTACGGCTCGTCCCGGAATCGAACCGGGTTTCCAGACATTGCGAGGGTATTGAATGTGATCTCAAAATGAGCGCAGGTGCGGACTATCCGCCACGAGCCGATTTATGACTGCACAGAATCCGGAGTAAGTCCATATGTACGTACACTGCGAGGCTGGAGGATGCTGGCCATGGTGCCGGAGGTAGTGAGATTCAACAGTTGCGCCGGAAGTTCAAGTTGGTATTTTTTTATCGGTCAGAAGGAAAAAACGACCAACTTATCCTAGTTCGACAATGCCTCAAGTCGAAATCGAACCAACCGCAGTGGGCACGCATATCGATGCGCAGGGCCCGTGAGTCCGCCTCACCCTGGAGACGCCCTAGTGGGATCAGATTTCCCAACCAAAAGTGAGGGCGCGAGACTTGCGGGATAGTGACCAACGGTAGGGCGCTGAATCTGGGTCTGCATTTCTCCTTTTGTTTTTCAACATGATGGTACATTTTTATTGGCGATGTACCAGTGATATATGTCATTTCCTTCTCTTAGATCCCGGTTGAACGCTGGGAAAGACATCATTATTGGAGATCGTCAGCAAAACGGCACCTACAAACCTGAACCTAAATCTGAACCTAGTTAGACGACGAAGGAAATTACGTCTCCTTGCGCTCCGAGTCTCTGAGAATAAAGTATGAACATTCGATCCGAGAAACGTTGATTTGAACACTCACTCACTCCGCCGCACATCCGGAAGCGCATCTTCCGCTTCCTTGAACATCCCCGCAATAACTTCCAGGTACTCATCTTCCGTGCGCTCAGCCTCCTTCGCCAACGCGGCGACGTGCTTCGAAATCGTCTCCATTGCGGCGTCCTTACTCGCCCCATACGCAAGCAAGAGCGCCATCAACCCCTTCCTGTCCTCCCCGAGCGGCAAACCCTCCCACCTCGTCGCCACCGCGCCTTTCTTCTTCCACCGCCGTGGATACCGCGAGCTGGACGGGTGGCGCAACTCCATCGCGACGTACAATAGATTGGCCTTGTGGGGCAGCGGGGGCCCGCCTTCGAGGAGAATGAAGAGCGGGATGGTGACTGAGGCGTCCGCTCCCTTATCCAACAGGAATTGAATGGCCTCGCGCTCGCGGCAACGCACCGCGAAGCCAAGCGCACTGCCGAAGTGACCCCGGTTTTCGATATCGGCGCCGTGCTCAATGAGGAGGGCCATCATATCCAGACGGCCGACCGCGCAAGCGTGGTGGAGGGAAGACTCGCTGCACCCATCGCACCCATATTCCGTGTCGACAGGTGCGCCCGCGTCCAAAAGCAGCTTCATAACGTCGATGTGGCCCCGTTCTGCGGCGAGATGGAGGGGCTGGTACCAGTCTTGGTCCCACTCGGCGGCAGGGTCTGCGCCGGCAGCCAACAGCATCTTTGTGGTTTCGACGTTTCCGGACTCGGCGGCGATGTGGAGAGGGGTTTTCCACACGCCGGAGGAGTGAGTGGGATGAAATGTGGAGCAGAAAGCATCTTCTGTACGATGTGGGGTCTGGATGATGCAGCCCATACGAGGAGGTCCTGCGCGAGTGCGGGGGTGATGAGGGATTCCAACTCGGGCTGAAGGATTCCATGCAGACGGCGGCAGCTTTGAGCTAGGGCATTTAGAGACTGTGCCGTCGAGAGGAAAGGAACGAGGGCTAGGATGAGCTCGGGCGGCAAGTCCTCGAAGTAGTTCTTCGACATCGTGGTTGGAGTGCAAGAATAAGGCTGTACTAGGCTGTACTGCGGTGGCAAGGAGATTGATGACCATCGCTGCCGAACAGATCCGAAGCCGGGTTCAAAATACACTCCCACGGTTGATTTTGTTTTGATGGGTCTCAATCCGCTTCATTTGACAGTCGATAGGATCCTACAATATTACAACGAACTAGATAAACAAGTGTCCCCAGTCCACGCATAGAAAACGTCCAAATCAGGAGAGTCTATCTACGATTCCCGCTCGGTGGCTCGTATGGATCATCGTAAGTCTCACCATTGCCATGCCCGTAATCCTGTTCATGAACAGACACAACCCGATAATGAAGAGGCTTCGGAGGCGGAAGCGAGCGCCGCCGATGAAAGGAAAACCACCACAGTCCGCCCAGCGCGAGAGTCCCCAGGACGAGGACCGCGCTCATTACGAGCAGCGCAATGATGTCTGGTGGGAGGTTATCATCTGTAATAGTGCTGCTGCGGCGGGAGTTTCGTGCTACTGCAGCAACTAGGATTGAAGATGTGGCGCTCCCAGGGGCGGTGCTTGCGAGCGGTGTTATTGCTGAGGGACAGCTGCTTGGTCCGAATTTCAGTGAACCATCCTGCAATGCCGATGATGAGTTCCACGTCGCCGCAGATATAGATATATATGGCACGTACAGCGGACAAGTATGTGCACTGCGTACTATCAGCATACGTGCACGACACCATGCCGCTCGCTCCAGGCCCCGTGGACGAGCTGGCGAAATACGTTCCAGCCTTGTTTGGCTGTGGGCACGGATTCCCAGTGCTATTCAAGCTGGTGCTATTGAAAGCACTTCCGCCGCCCGCGTTGTTGAAGCTGCTCGGGTTCAGGGGCGATGAGCCGTCTGGAGAACATCTGACGGTGATACGACGTACGTCGAGTTTAATATCGGAATGGCGGAAGGTGGACATGCGGCGGAAGTGCCACTGCCATTGACAGGGGCACCATGCTGGGTGGGTGGATGGTGAGGGTAAGCATACACGGTAGGTGAGACTGAACCTTACCGTATCGTACAGGCACAGAGCCGGCGAAGTCGACCCAGTCGCATAGGTGCAGGCGAAATTTTGTTGGGTGGTCACTGAAGCACCGATCAGCTGCTGCTGCCCGGTGCTGTTCGATGGGCAACTGAATCCGGTCCTGGAAAGTGAGAGCTGGCTTGAGTGTTCAACCAATTACACATCAACTTGTAGAACGAACGAATTGAGGTGAGCAGGGTTGATGGTTGGCGGACAGTCAGAAATTGAGACTCCGGGTCGACGGGAGCCGTCCTGCAGTCACATTTTCGGTTAACATCTATCTATCCTTGCGGCAAGGCGAGGTTGAAATCACTCAACAATTTGGGAATACGAACACGGCAGTACCTGATTACTGCTCGTATAATAACAGTCCTGCGTGAAGACGCCAGGGTCGGTGCCATTCTGACTCGAAATTAGGGCATGGCCATCGGGTGGGCTCGATGGAGATCCATCGAACGATGGACAAAGAAACCCGGCGTTTCTGCTCAGCGGTGGTTTTAGTTTTAGTTTTGTGCATCATCCGGCGGTGGAGGGAGGGTATCGCAGAAGAATAAATACGCACCGAATGGCATCGGGGCACGAGACTGTGGGGCCATTAGAGAATGTTCCGTTCTAAAGCAGGTCAGGACGGTGAATAAAACGCTGATATATAATAAATGCTGACAGCGAAATAATTGCACGGTGCTCCCGCGGTATCGTCATACGTGCAGGTAACAAATCCAGTGATATTGGATTTCGGAGCGGCGCTCGCCGCTTTCAACTTGGCAGATTGCTTGTCCGTCGGCGGGCATGCCTGCTGTGCCAGAGCGCGTCCGGACCAGCTCAACTGACCGAATACCACCATGGCCAGAGCGACGAGAGACTGTAACGGAAAGACCGGCATTAGCCAAGTCCGTTGTGTAGCGTAGGGTGAAGAAGAGACCGAGATCGACGCCGAGGCTGGCAGCTCATATATACTTATGCCGGGGAGGGAGGGCTATGTATGTTGTTGCTGTACCCTAGGCCTCCGCCCGAAGATTTGACAGACAGACGCCGTTGACGGTGGTTTCACGAGTCCGAAGTCGCCGTGGTAAAATGATCATTGTGATGAGTTTCTGTGGGCGCTGCCCAAGTCCACTCGGAATCCCGTTTTGGCGGTTGAACTCGAAGGATGATTTTGTCGTGTTCTGTTGTGCGGTGGACAGAGACCTGCGACTGCAAAGAACCGAATAGGCCAATACCATTGGTAGTTTGCTGACCGACGAGGCACTTGTCGGTATGGATCCATGGCCAACCGATCAATCTTCAGTCAGAGAACTTTGACGGGGTTTTTCTGGGAAACACTGGAATGGATGGGTGCGGTGCCAGGGTGCCGACCTATTTCAAGAGATCATTATAATCATTATAGACCAAAGACAAGCATCATCAAGGGCTGGGTTGCGGGCAATCAGGACCGGAATCGAGGATATCTATGTTACAGAGCAAAGGCTGTGTCACCCCGGAGGATCTGGATAGGTCCAGTACCTCGGCGTTGCGGTGATGCGTTCTTTTCTTGAGCAATATATTAATGAGGTCCGGATTGGGGAGTTGCGGAACGAGTGCAATGCAACTGGGGAATGTGACGAGTGAGCGCTCTTTCTAGGCCAGAAGATGTCTTGCGCTGTGTTCAACCTCGGTCATCCTTGACTCTTGGGAGCTTCAAGAACTTGAACTTGGTCGAGATCCATGGCAGTCTGGTAGCTACGGCGAAGGTGGGGACACCCGGGCTTGTGTGGCCAAGATGAGGTCGCGTCCCTGGCACCCAACCGGAGACCCATGGTGGTTTTAGGTCAAGAGTGAATTTGATTGCCATACAACAGACGCAAACAGAGTTCTCAACCGGAGGGATAAATATTCAAAGCGGGACAAACTATCTAGGAGTCGATAATGCAATTGCGCCGGGACTAATCGTCATCGACTTCACGAGCCAAAACGACCTTCTTGTACGCATGAGGTTTAGTCGACCCTATCGGCCGACGGACGATCCAAATTCCGCCCATGAGGAGAACGGCGAGGACGAGAAATCCGTTCATTGCGAGAAGCGCTATGATGACCGGTTTCGGAGCACCACTGGTCGTCGTCGAATCTGGGGCCGCCGCTGCTGCTGCTACGT